AAAAAAAAAAAAAAAAATAGACATCTCCGCGGTGACATTACCTATTTCTGGAGAATGCGGTAATGGACGAATGCTTTTTCGAGTGCTTGCAATTGCATAACAATCCACAGCGCGTGCTCGCGCGTGCGTACACGGTGCATAATAAACAAATTTGTAAAGAGCCACTCAACCACGATAAATTCTCATTAATACGAGATCCAACAAATTGCTCGGATAATTACAGGCGCGCGATCCCGCGATTAATCACTTCAGCGCCGGCTTTGTGATCCGCTGCTACGATAACATCCGCTCGACGTTCTCCGCGCCATTGTTTCCCCGCGCCATTGTCGGGCTTTCAGTTTCCGTCCATAAACATTTCCAGTACTAAGGCTCTTGCGTGAGATTCTTCGCGGCATTGTCCACTGAAAATTGTTTCCTACGGTAGACCGTGTCCGAGGAACTCCAGCCATCCCGCGGGAATTTGGCGAACGAGCCTCCCCCGGAAAATTAGCTTAGGCTTCCGTTTCTCCAAGCCCCCCCACCCCCCACGACCATTTTCATCATCATCCCTCCGCATACATCGCTCTTGTTAAACGTTCAAGTATACTATCGTACAGCATGATGACAATCGTAACAAATCTTTCGTGCGACTTTGATCGATCTTTCTTGTCGTAGCCATTCAAGAGACATAAGTGAGAGTGAGAGAATTAAAAGTGTCACTCAAAACTAGCAAAGGGATTAGGTAACGCGGGCAATCACAACTTACCAGAACGGTATAAAAAACACAGACGACGCATACAATGGCCCCGATTAAATGTATATTGATGTCGCTCACTGCAATAAATCATCAAGAACCTTAAAAGATTAATTCCTACATCCTAATACGTAATACGACTATATAAGATACCTTGATTCAACGCTAGCGCTGGGACATAGACGACGATCGATTGGTAAAGAATCTGGAACCGATTAAGCCTTACTTGTACGATTTTCCGAATCAAAATCGCGAAATCATGATGAAACAGGATATATATATATATATATATATATATATATATATATATATTATTA